TAATGCACTGTACCAAAGCTTGAGTTGCAGCAAATATTGCAACACTCTTGTTTCTACATAGGGAATGTTCCAATACGAAGGACAGCAACAAAATTTTCAGTGACTTCAGTGGCAAAGTCAGGTATGAAGGGAACAAAGGATTCAGCTGTTTACCTCTGGATTTTCAGTTAACACGATACTGATGTGTACAAACTTTGGGCAAGGGCTTGTGTAAGGATGTGACAACAGCTGGAAAGAGTACGGGAAGTCACTGTTTAAATCTCTTGTTGAAAGAAAAAGAAGATTCTGTTGATTGTTGGTGTTCTCCCAAAGGTGTGAATTTTAAAGATAAACAAAACCAAATTGAAGTCTTAAGCAATACTGCATATACTATAAATGCAATTATAATGTTTCTGACTTGGACACGTGATACTAGGGTTTTTGCTTGCAGAACATTATTGTTTCCAGAGATATAGAACAGTGGATCTCTAAAAGAAAAAGTTACTTGCACAACATCTGTTAAACAATAAAAACATTTTGTTCACTTATACTCTCATATAATTATCCTACAATTGTTGGAACTAAACGGTGTAGACAAATAAATAAGCCATGAAATCTTAAAAATGTGCGGAAAGAAGATATATCCTAATGATAAGCAATGTTTGTAGTCAGAATTTAATTCATTCAATTAATGTTACGTAATATATTAACCATCCATAATTCAATTCACTAGCCAGCTGGCTTGAAGAGCCTCTTGATAATTCAAAAATAGAGACAGTAGAACTAGATCCAAGTTCTAGAACTAGATCTAAGGTTTAAGGTAACTAAAAATTAAAATAGTTCCTATAATAAAACTATGAGAAGCAGCTTAACAGAGATATAGCTACCTATCACATAGCTAACAGGAGAATGATGCAGTCGAGAGTGTTTCCACAAGCCTGTCCGTGACACTTTTCCGGTAAAGGCAAACTCTAAATTCCATTCTGTAACCAAAGAATTGTTTATACATACATAGTAGACTTTGCTATAAAATACAGGATACTGGGATATCCAATACAACGAGCTTCTTTGACTCTCCAGCCATAGGAATCATTGTCTCAAGTTGCTCCTCTCCTGTACCATACTTTCAGATAAAACATACACAGTGGCAACAGTCCTTGGAAGTAGGAAACAAGTTTAAAATTTCTTGGAAAGAGGAAATGAATTTGGCCTCTCTTTTAATGACTGATTTACAAGTTTTTAAAAGGGACTCAGCCCTTTTAGACATGTAAGATATTCACAGTGGTAGGTAGCCTCAGAAAATTTGGCCAAATTGGGCTGGCGAACAGAAGAATGTTTCATTTCCAAATTCCCATCAAGCTGAGAAGTGACTTTAAAGGTAAAAAAAAGTAAGGCTTCTGTAGAGTTCAGTATCTCTAAGATACATTATACACATTATCTCATGTCTGGGCACTCCATGGGCAATGACGGCAGAGTGCATAGGGAAGGAGTAGGGCAGGGGGATGCTGGGGATGCTGCTGTTCTAGGGGATCCTAGATCCCATATAAAGGTGGCGAGACGGATAGCCCGGCTGAAGTGCCTTTATACCAATGCACGCAGCCTGAGTAACAAGCAGGAGGAACTGGAAACTGTGATGCACTCGGAAAGTTATGACCTTGTCGCTATCACAGAAACATGGTGGGATGACTCCCACAATTGGGATACTGCCATCGACGGCTATAGACTCTTTAGGAGAGATAGGCGAGGTAGGAGGGGTGGGGGAGTTGCTCTCTATGTCAGGGATTGGATAAACTGTGAGGAGCTCCCTACGAGAAACAGTCAGGAACAGGTTGAGAGCCTGTGGGTTAGGATTAGAGATGGGACTAATATAGGTCAGCTGGTGTTAGGGGTATACTACAGACCACCTGATCAAGGGGAGGCTGTTGACGAGGCTTTCTTGCTCCAGATGCGTGAGATGTCTGGCTCACGGGCTCTTGTCCTGGTGGGGGACTTCAACCATCCGGACATCTGCTGGAAAAACCACACGGCGAGCTGCAAGAGCTCCAGAAGGCTCTTGGAATCCATTGACGACAGCTTTCTGGTTCAGGTATTGGACAGACCGACCAGAGGTGAAGCGTTGCTAGACCTGCTGCTCACCAACGCTGAGGAGATCATCAAAGGCGTCAAGGTCGGAGGCTGCCTGGGCTCCAGCGACCACGCCCTGGTTGAGTTTGTGATCTCAAGCGATGTGGGCCTGGCAAAGAGCAGGATCAGGACACTAAACTTTAGAAAAGCAAACTTCAAACTACTCAATGGATTGCTGGCCAAGATCCCCTGGCGCGCTGCCCTCAAAGACAAGGATGTTGAGGAGAGCTGGCGGCTCTTCAAAGATGCCCTCCTGGAAGCACAAGAGGTCTCCATTCCTCTGAATAAGAAAGTGGGCAGGCGAGGTAGGAAACCAGCATGGCTCAGCAAGGACCTGCTGAGAGAACTGAGGGCGAAGAAAGGGGTGTACAAGCTCTGGAAACAAGGCTGTGTCACCTGGGAAGAATACAGGAATGCCGTCCGGACTTGCAGACGTGGGATCAGGGAAGCCAAGGCGCAGGCAGAACTGAACTTGGCAAGGGACGTGAAAAACAATAAGAAAACCTTCTACAGGTACATTGGCCAGAAGAGACAGGCCAAAACGGGCGTACCTACTTTGGTAAATTTAAAAGGAGAACTGGCTTCAACAGATGAAGAGAAAGCTGAGGTGCTGAATGAGTTCTTCACCTCGGTCTTCACTGGTGGCCAGGATTCTAGTCTTTTTCACGTCCCTGAACCCTGCATCCCCAAACCTCTATGTGGGGACCAAGGAGGTAAATCCCTCCCCACTGTAAGGGCAGAGCAAGTCCGAGAGTGCCTCCTTAGACTGAATGAATTCAAGTCTATGGGGCCGGATGGCTTGCATCCCAGGGTCCTGAAGGAGCTGGCTGAGGTGGTTGCCGAGCCGCTCTCCATCATATTTGAGAAGTCGTGGCTGTCAGGTGAGGTCCCGGATGACTGGAGGAAGGGTCACGTCACTCCCATATACAAGAAGGGGAGCAGGGAGGACCCGGGGAACTACAGGCCGGTGAGTCTCACCTCCGTGCCTGGGAAGATCATGGAACGGATCCTCCTGGACAACATGCTCGATCACATAAAGAATGAGCATGTGATCCGAGACAGCCAGCACGGCTTCACCAATGGAAGGTCATGCCTAACTAATCTTGTGGCCTTCTATGATGGAGTGACGGCATTGGTGGACGAAGGGAAGGCGACTGATGTCATTTACCTGGACCTGAGCAAGGCCTTTGACATGGTCCCCCACCACATCCTCATCTCCAAATTGGAGGGAAGTGGATTTGATGGGTGGACGACCCGATGGGTAAGAAACTGGTTGAAAGGCCGCAGACAGAGGGTGGTGGTCAATGGCTCTATGTCCAGGTGGAGGCCGGTAACAAGTGGTGTCCCCCAAGGGTCTGTCTTGGGACCGGTGCTCTTTAACATCTTTATTAATGACATCGATGAGGGAATTGAGTGCACCCTCAGCAAGTTTGCTGACGACACCAAGCTGAGTGGTGCGGTTGATACGGTGGAAGGAAGGGATGCCATTCAGAGGGACCTCGACAGGCTGGAGGGCTGGGCTCGGGTGAACCTAATGAGGTTCAATACGGCAAAGTGCAAGGTTTTGCATTTGGGCCGGAAGAACCCCAGGCACCCGTACAGGCTGGGAGGAGTGGTCCTTGAGAGCAGCTCGGCAGAGAAGGACCTGGGGGTCCTGATGGACGAGAGACTGAACATGAGCCAGCAGTGCGCTCTGGCAGCTCGAAAGGCAAATGGGATCCTGGGCTCCATCAGGAGAGGGGTGGTCAGCAGGGACAGGGAGGTGATCGTCCCTCTCTACTCGGCTCTTGTGAGGCCCCATCTGGAGTACTGTGTCCAGGTGTGGAGCCCTCAGTACAAGAAAGACATAGAGATTTTGGAAAGGGTCCAGAGGAGGGCGACTAAGATGATCAGGGGGCTGGAGCACCTCCCCTATGAGGACAGGCTGAGGGAGTTGGGCTTGTTCAGCCTGGAGAAGAGAAGGCTGCGGGGTGACCTCATTGCAGCCTATCAATACCTGAAGGGAACCTACACCCACGAGGGGAGTAAACTCTTCAAAAGGGCTGACAACAGCAGGACTAGGGGAAATGGATCGAAGTTGAAGGAGGGAAGATTTAGGTTGGATGTTAGGGGGAAGTTCTATACAAGGAGAGTGGTTAGGCCCTGGAACGGGCTGCCCAGGGAGGTTGTGGATGCCCCGTCCTTGGATGTGTTTAAGGCCAGGTTGGACAGGGTCCTGGGCAACCTGATCTGAATGTGTGTGTTTGGTGGCCCTGCTAGGCAGGGGGGTTGGAACTACATGATCCTTGAGGTCCCTTCCAACCCGGGTGATTCTGTGATTCTGTGATTCTGTCTGTATTTCACATATTTATTAGAATGGACCCCATACAGATACAACTGCTGTCTCTGGAATAACATATTACTTAAACTACTGTGCCTTCTGTATTTGTCAGTTATCTGTATTTTGTCATTTTTTTGTAGGCAAATGATAGAATAAGAAAATAGTGATTTATACAGAACAGTATAGTTCTATTCTAGGTCTAGGAGTGGGACTTCAAAGATCATCTAGCCCAACTGTGTGACCTCTTCAGGGCTGAATTAAAGCATTTTAGTGAGGGCTTTGTCCAAACATCTCTGAAAACTGATAAGCATGAGATGTGTATCTCAATCTGAATTTACTTTTGAAATCTCATTCCTTTGATTACTTCATGTAAGTTAATGGAATTCATTATGATATCTTTAAAATTTAATTTAGATCTTCACTATTTTCCTTCAAAGGCTATGGATTTTTAAATGCAGATTTTCAGTGTCTTAAGAACAACTGGTAACAAAGAAAGTTGAAACTTCATTGCAGAAAAAAAAAAAAATACAGACACATGGAGTTTTACCTCAGCTGACCAAGAAAAAACTAGAAGATATTAACTAATTTTTCGGTTTATTATACTACTGTCACTAAATTCACCTCAATTTTTTTTGAGGTAATGTTGACGTCACTGTTACAAATTTTTAAAGTATAGGTGTACAACTTCGGAAGTAAATTAAAACTTTAGTTGATCATGTTGTACCTCTGGAATCAGATTCTGCCATTTTCTTAAATATCTAATAGTTTTTTATTCAAACAATCCAAATTTCATACTTCAATTATGGCAAGAGACACAATCATTACTACCATCACTGTGATCCCACAGATGGGAAAATTCAGGCAAAGATATGGTAAGTTTTGGTCAGAAAACAGTAGAACTCCTGGCTGCTGCACAAATATGTTAATCATGAGATTGTATTCAGGGGTACACAATTGTATCTACTCATTTCTTAAATGGACATTTACTTACACCAGGTTATGAGTAAATGTTTAAATTAAACTTTTCAATAAGTACTTTAAATATAATTACTTTTATTGCTTTCATGGGGCTTTTTTTTTTTTTTTTAATCTTCTCATTATTTACAGTGAAGATGATCCACAAGTAAATCTTTCATTTAAACATGCCTTAAAGTTAAGAAGGTATCATCCTTACTTTGCAGCCCAGATCTTAGTACATCTAATTGAACAAACACCTAATTTCCTCAGTTGAACATTTCAGACTCTAAAGTGATGGGCAAAAGTCACTTGATCTAAATACAGAGTGACTTAAAAAAACTGCAATTTCATTAATATAACTTCAATGTCTGAATGACGACTTACCAGAAACATCCAGTTACATAGTCTGTGCCATCTTTTATGGCTTAAGACTGAAAAGGTGCATTAATTAAAAATAGGCTTGCTTCATACGTGAAGTTGGTTAGAATGCCCTTACTATCCTAAAAGAAACCGGAATAAAAGAAAAACAAAAGAATCCCATTTTTAATTCAAGTATTATTGCTAGCTTGAAGCATGCAAGAGAGCTTGCAGTTTTTAGCTACTTGACTTTAAATACTACTAAAAGTTCTGGAGCCAAGTAGAAGTTGGAAGAGCACAAGGAAAGAAAAACAACCTAGCTCCAGTATTTTTGCCAGTCCTGCTGTTTGGAGACTCCCTTTACCATTTGTATTTAATTTTCCTATCTTAGTAGAAACCATCTTTCCAGCAGCTCCTGAAAGATGTGCATCTCCCCTGAGATCACCTCCACAGGAAATTATGAGGAATTAAGGGCCCAGCCTTGCAAATATTTTGTCATGTGAGTAACATTAGTCAATGGGATACTTGTGTGCAAGTGCTGGCTTGATCATATCTAAGGTTGGCAATTGCAGGTGTACTCCTTAAATAACTCAGTCCAAACTGAAAGCCTGTGTTATAAAATGCATATATCCGTCAACTTCCCTGAAGATATTTCAACTTGTACTATTTTGAGATATTTTATCATGCTGTTTTCAATAATTGTCTTGCCTCAACTATACATCCTCAAGTAGCTGTATGCTAGGAACACCAAACCATGACCCTTATGGAAAAACTGATATTCATATATCAGCTGGTTGCTTTATACCAGATTACTACAAATATGTTTTTAAATATTTCTATTCTGAAAATACTTTTCACATATGGTTAACTACTAATAAACATACTGAAAAATCCTATTAGTTTTACATGGCTTCTGTGACACAGTGATACTTTGAAAAAAAATATATGTTATGAATGAACATTTTATTTAAATAGAGGTAAATTAAATATTTTAAAAATCAAATAAATTCACTTTCCAATGAATCTTTCAAATCTTCAAATGAAATCAAACCCCTTCTATCATATGTAAAATGACTATGATTCAGTAGGAGTCATAGCTGATTAATTCCAAGGAACGTAGGTTATTCCAAAGCATTGTTTCCATAATTCAAGTGGTGTCATATTTGCTCTTTCAGAGATATTTATCTTTAGATGAAGTAATCCGGCTCATAGTTTGAATTCCCCAGAATGCAATGCAGAGGGAAAACAAGACCTACAACACAAAATTTAAAATAGGCATTATCATTTTATACGTACATAATACTTTAAAAATTATATTTATCTGTAAACATGAGTGTATAAAAGCACAAAACTCCTAAGGAGGAAAATTACAGGACTATTCTAGGCATACTGATAAATTCACCTTAAGAAAACATGCTTTCTTTTTCTCTTACTCTTCTTGTTTCCATTTGTTCTTTCTGAACAGCATCAAAACATGGTAACTGGCAGCCTGTATGACCTTCTCTATTTCATAGTAAAAGTTGGAGTTAGAGTGCTCAGAATTACATACAATAAGACAGGACAATAACACCTTCTGTGCCAGAAGGTAAGTGCAAAAATGTTGAATTTTATTTACTTGCAAATAATGTCTGAAGATGCCTGGCATGGCAAGTTGCACGGTAGTATATAAACACCTAAAGTAGTCTTAAAAACAGTCTATGGTAAATGAGATATCCCGGTTGCAGTACTTTAGATAGACACTTATTCCCCAACAGCTGTGTTGAGATATAAACTTGATTTGAAATAATTTAGGAAAAATAGTGTTTTCCTTTGTTCCGTGCATTTTTCATTAGCCAGTGAAGTTTAATAAGAAATCTGCATTTTATAATTATTATTATTATTAGTTTGCTTGCTAAAAACCCCTTGAGGATAAGTGGGAATGTTTGCAGGGCTGAATCTAATTCAGGTAATAGCTTTGTCTACAGAAGTAGAGGATGATACACTTTGCATGTGTATGTGAAATGTTGTGTTTTAAAAGCTCTGATATAAATGTCACATTTGGAATAAAGTTTTCAAGAATATGACAGTCATGGTTTATTGAACATAAACTGAATTAACATCCAATTTTCCTAGAAGGTATTTCGTCCAGGTGATTTCTTTTGTTTGTTTGAAGGGACAGAAAATTCAAATTTAAGAGGTTTTTTTTTTTTTTTTTTACTCAAGTTTAATAATTTTCTCAGATTTATCTGTAATATAAAAGTACTGACTAGAACAGCTCCAATTTTAAAATATACATCATTTAACTTTCAACATTTAAAAATGTATGGCTCCAAAACTTACTACTGCCCTCATCTGCACATTCATCAAAGTACATGAGATCTGAATGTGCAATATAAATAAAAATGACCATAATACCTAAGAGATACTAATTCTGCATTGGATGGAATGAAGTCTGATCCCCCTCACAACCTATCTGGGACAGGTACAACCTCAAATTATCTGTACACTGCATAGTTATTAGCATGAAAATAACACAGCTCCAATCCGATAAAATTCTCTTTCAAGGAAAATTCTCTTCAACTATTCTCACTGCAGATTTTAATTCTAACTGACCAAGGATAGGCTGTGTGTTTAGAAATTCTGATGACACTTAGTGCTATAGGTCTCATTTTTAAGAAAGACTCATAAAATTCTCACCAAAATACTTGTTTATTGGAGTTTCAGAAAAATTTTACTTTTTTTTTCCCCCCCATGTTACCACAAGTACTTTGTAAAATCTGAGTACATCACCTCATGACTCAGTTTTACAGCTATGGAGTGGAGCACTGCTGCAGGCACACGCTCTTCTTGTTTCATGAGATTTGCTTTATTTCTACACTGCAATGTTGATGTAGGAGAAAAGCAATTTTAAACAACTATCTGCATTTCTGATTTGCCTGTTATGCAATTGAGATCCATGTGAATTGTGGTACACATAAAATGATAATATCTTCTGACTGTGGAAAAAGTCTTTGTCATGCTAGCTTGAGAAACAGATCTTATCCACTTGTCAAAATCAGTACTTCTGACACGCTACTAAACTCATTTCATTCCTCACCTCAAAAGATCACTTCTATTCCTGGAAGACACATTAAATATAGAAGTATTTCATTTTCAGAAGCATTCTTAAGCACATTTAATGACTGAAATGCAGGGCATTTGTAGGGGATTAATGACTGCTGGGAGATGATGATCACCTGAAGAAGTACAGCTATGGGCCATTAAGCCCCAGGAAATGTTCTCAGCTAAAGATGGTTATTGCTATTATAGGCTGAAAATGAAAAAAACATGTTGGGTGAATTTTTCTTTTAAAAATAGAGCAACGCAGCTTCTTCTTTCTTAATTAAATTATTCATTATGATTTTCATAAAGCATGCAGTCAGAGCCTGTGGGGGTATTCTTCAAATTGCAGTTATTGCATCCAGAATGAATAACCACATCAGGCACACTGTGGATCTGCAGAACAAGTTCAGCTTCATCATTCTATAACAGTATTGATTCACTGCCTATCAATGTCAGGACTGCCAGTACTCGACGGAAAATAACCCATTCATGAAATAATAATGCTTCAAGGTGGATAAAAAAAAAAAAAAAATCAGGGAAAAAAAAATTAAGGGGCCACATCCTCCCTTGCATGGCACAAGTTCTGGCTGGCTCTATAGCTACAATGCTGACCTATAATGAGCAGAGCCAGCTGCATGGGGCAACCAAGCAGAAACTTGCTATAGGAGCTGGAGTTCAGTTTCTTCTGATTACTGCTACATACTCTGGAGGTAAAAGGTTTGTTCCACTTGAATAAATGGTTCAGTCAGGAGATGTCAGTAATGGAAAACCAAGCTGATACGTGCCAGAATTCAAAGCAGACAGTAGTGTGGGCAGCAGGAAGCAGTAGAAGAGCATTTCACCAGGAGACTTAAACTATAATTGACAGGTTTTTTTTTTAACATATTGGAAAAAACATGAAACTTATATATAGATACTCTGAATTTTCTGTTCAAGTTTCTAGGATCCTAAGTGAAATTTTAGTTTGTTTGCTTGTTTTTTCCTTTTACAGTTATCCAAATTTTTAGATAAATTTAGATTTTTCACATAAATTGGCATTCTTTCTCAAATGGTCCAAACTGACTACTATTTGTCTCTTGGTAAAAATATTTATATCAGTTGCCTAATTTAGTCAATTTTGAAACAAAAATATAACTTAAAGAGAATGCTTTCTTGTTTTTACTCTGATAAAAGTTCCTCCACAAATACTATTATATATCAAAAAGCTGAACATGAGACAGCAGTGTATGCTTGCAACCCAGAAGGCCAACTGCATCCTGGTTGCATCAAGAGGGGTGGTCAGTAAGGTGAAGGAGGTGACTGTCCCCTTCTACTCTGCCCTTCTGAGCTTCCATCTGGAATACTGCGTCCAAGCCAGAGAGCCCCATTACAGTAGGGAATGTGAAGCTGTGGAACAGGTCCAGTGGAGGGCCACAAAGATGATCAGGGGACTGGAGCACTTCTATGAAGAAAAGCTAAAGGAGTTATGATTGTTTAGGCTGGAGAAGACTCCAGGGAGACATAAGTATGGCCTTCCAATAGTTGAAGGGAGCTTACAAGCAGCAAGGGAAGTGACTTTTTAGATGGTCTGACAGTAATAGAACAAGGGGGAATCGCTTCACAATAAAAGAGGTAATATCAAGATTTTAGGTAGAAATTTTTTACTCAGAGGGTGATGAGGTGCTGGCATAGGCTGCCCAAAGAGTTTGTGGATGCCCCATCTCTGAAGGGATCCAAGTCCAGGCATGGGATCCTAGGCATCCTGATCTAGTGGCTTGCAACCCTGCTTACGGTAGGGGATTGGGATGAGTTGATCTTTAAGGTCCCCTCCAACCTAAGCCATTCTGTGATTCTACAATTCTACGATAACAATTATGACAGAATGCAACAGTTGAAAGCAGAATTTCTCACAAGCACACATCCAGGAATGTTAAAATGCAAACTTTTTGCCACCTCAGTACAAGCACTTGTTATATTTATCTGTTCAAGTAACTACAAATTAATTATGGGCTCTTCTCTAGACTGCTGGAAGAAGACAGACTTCCAAATATTTACATTATCTACTTCCCTACAGTCTTTCAGTTTCCATATAGCTTGTGATCCCACTGTGAGTAAGTCTACAGAAATGTAAACAACACTATTCATAAGAAAAAGATACCTTAGCTAATGGACTGAATGCAGGATTGAGTCTGCTGTTCACAACAAATCCCCACTGGAGTGATTTACGTTCATTAAGCTGTAAAACATTTTGAAATAATTAGCTAAATTCAGGCACCCAATTCCGTGTTAGCTTTACTAATGATCACTAATGTTATTTTCTGCCATTTTCTCTTTTTGTAATGACTTTTGTAGGTCTGAGTTGCCTAGACACAGCACTGTGTTTCTTTCTCGCAGACTTAATCCGAACAGAATTAGAAGACTTCAGACACTGGTCTAGAATTGTAGACAAGTGTTCAAAGACACCCCTAGTTTAAGGAAAAAAAAAAGGTTTGAACCACAAGTCCTCAGATCCCTGCTGACCTAAATCATTCAATGATTCTTTGACATTTCTCAGGTTCTGCTCAGAGATGTTCACTCCAAATTTCACTGCGGGGGTAGTTTGTATCTGTTCAACAAATCCACCATATTTAGGGTACACAAGTAGCTCTAGGGTGGGTTCATGAAAACCAGCACATTCAGAAAATTCATGAGGTTGACTGTTCACATAAAAAATAGGCCTAGTACTTTTAGTGATGTGCCCTCTCAATCTGAGGCTGTAAACTGTTTAACTGATATTGCAAATTAAACATTGCAAAGGTTTTTCTATATTCTTTCTCTCCAAAAGCACTAGAAATAATTTTACATTATGAGTATTAAGAATAGTTTTTAGATTGAGAAGTCTGTTTCTGTATATAATCATTCTTTTCTAGTTAATATGGAGAGAACAAACTGACATAATAGTCAATATCAAATACAATATAACAATAGAATATAGTAACAAAATGGTTAAATAAACAATCCCAGATTTCTCAAGTTAGTTTTTATACACACTATCACTGTTTTCCCACTTCCCCATACAAGATTACTTGTAAACAAGAATGTGCAGAACTACACAGAGGAGATGGAAAATGTATGTCTCAAAAGAGTAAAAGGTTTACTGTTTTAAGATGTCAGGATCTGGGTAAAAGCTGAATGCATCTTCATTCTCAGTGCAACGTTTTTAAATAAGCAGTCTAAGGCTAGTAGAGAAATACCATGATTTTAGCAGTAGGCATAGAAAGCACTTGTAGAGTGAACAGGTTAAGTAGACTGCCGCACTAGTAAACAATTTGCAATAACAATACTTGGAAACCAAAGAGGGGGAATCAGATTATTATTTTTTGAGGAAGGTGAGAGAACTGTGGATAGAAAGGAACTACAATAAAAGCAGCTTCACAGCATTTGTCCAAGATTTCTGCAGAAGTAGCAGAATGTCTGAAAACTCTCCATGAGGATTCATCATACACATTTAGGCTACTGGCGCAGCTCATATCTCACAGGTTCAGTATGTCCCAGACATAGAACAAAGTATGTATTAATAGACTGCTGGCACACACACAATTAATCCAAGTACCTTTATCCCCCACAAAACTGTATTAATACTTCACTCATTGAAAGGATTCTTGCTGGTATGATATACTCCATTAGTTTTGTATTTCCTAATTAGCAGACGATGAGAAAATAATTAAGAAGAAATATGTACATCTTCTTCAGATTCTGTTAAACATTTTAAACTTTATTCTTTTATTAAAATATGGCGTGACTCTCTAAAGTCAGTTAAAGCATGAAAACATAGTCTGTAAGTGTCCCCACTTCCTAAAAGTCCTATGTTACACATCCAGGAAAGGCAAAGATAGATATGGAGACAGGATACATATCCTTCAGTTGCTTTCACAGCTGGAAACATCCCCACTATGAAATGAAATGCACTGCAGAGATGCTTGAGTTAGCAAGGACAGAAGCTGCTAAGAGTCTCAGCACAACACCAGGTTGGCTGACTTTCCTGGCACTGCTATCACCTTGCATCCCTCAGCTAAACACACAGCGATTTTCGCACAAGCACATCTAAAGCGGCCTATGTGCAGCCAGCAAATAACTTGAATCCTACTAGACTGTCAAATCACTTGTATATGTGTCCGACTGAATTGTTACTTATTATATTTCTTTCTTCCAGGGTCAAAGAACGAATATACAACCTAAACACTAGAACTCTGAATGTTTTTCCTCATTCTTAAAGGACAAAAACAAAACAAAGCAAAACAAAAATCTGAAACCAGGAAGTTTTGCTGTCAACCATAAATAGGAACTTCCACATGTGTTACCTTGCATTGAGCTATGCAAGTGTAGTGTATCAACATTACACTTATTAACATACACAAACTCTCCTCATGATCTTCAGTACAAAAGTTGTCAAAATGTTTTACTGAAATACCTGAGAACACTCGCCACAGTAAATTACTTAATTAAAAGCATAAATACCTAAATTATTCTAAAACATTTAGCCTTTTTGAATAGCATTCTAAAGTGAAACTCTGTTAAACTGAAATCTTCCCGTATGTTCAATGCTCCAAAATAACTTCCGCACCTTTTTGCTGGCTTTTAAAACAAATTCTGAGAAAAACTGTTTAATAATTATAAACTGTCAGTCATCTTTTGAGCTTAAAAGTCTCACATTAAAAAAACAAAACAAAACATATTACCTACTTTATTACATATTCTTAGCTCACAGCGCTATTCTCCAGGTTTCCAACTTGGCCATTAACCAGTAATTTGTACCACTACATTGCCATTACCTTTTTAAATGACTAATCCTGGGAAACAAAGTAAGAGCCACAATTTACTTTTTTTGTATTTGTCAGCCTTAAATTAGCTCTCATCTCTATCTACCTATTAGTCCCCGTGTTTATGTCTAAGTACACATCAGAAAACCTAGCGACTTTATAATATTACTAAAACCAAACTTTCAAATTCACATGAAAGACATATCACCTTGTATAATCAATGAATATTAAGATGTTATAATTATGAAATTAACAAGAGAGTTAGGAAAAGCAGGTTATAATAACAAAAAGAAAATAGATGGAACACATACCCACATCCTGAGCTCATTTATGAAACTCCAGCAGAGCAAACCTCCAAAAAAGGTCATTTCCCACTGGTAGTCAGCTCTTAAATGGTTCTAGGAGCAGTGGAGCCAGGCTCCACCCCTTTCAGCAGCACAGGTGAATTGCCTTCACCTGTGCTCCTGTGGCTGACTCATTGCTCGCCTCAGGTGATCAATCAGAGGTTCAGGTTGTGATTCAGCAGTTCTCATGCACACCTAAAAACATGTATCTGATAGACGCATTTTGCAGCTCTTTGCATTTGCTTTCTGATTTTACTTGTAGTGGTTAAAGCTCTTCTTTTGAAAGTATTTCTTAAAATTAAAAATTGTGTAAAGATATATGAATTCATAGGCTTTTAAAAATATGAAAATTTTCATTCCTGCCCACTCTAGAAACTCCTCCAGTCATTACAGTTTTGACATAAATTCCAAACACTGTGCCATCACTTAGGGAAACTCACTCCACACTCTGAACCTCTCTTTGCTGCTCGCTCCATACCTTACTCCTGGTGAAAAAGAGAGATGAGCATCATTGGATTTGTTCAGTGTCTGGTGTTCTAATACTAACTAGCTCTACCACATGAGACTGGTTGATGGGTGCAATGCTCGAAGGAAAATCAGTGAAATTATGCTTTTTACATTTTTGACAATAAAGTACTGAAAAACATAGATCAACAGCGTTAGAACTTAATTCCAAACTTTACATATATTTTTTTTTAATGAAAAGGCCTGCATTTTTTCAGTTTTCATTTTCTCTCAAATTTGAGAAACAATAGGCAAAAAAAAAAAAAAAAATCTTAGCATACTTTAAAAGGGCAATTAAAAATAAAGCTTTCAGAAAGTTAAGATGACAAATCTTAGAAATATCTCAGTCTGTAAGCATACTGGTTTAATCTTTTGCAGGTTACAAGGCCAAATGAGATTGAAAGAGTTATTAATAGCTGTTCAGTGCAGAAACAAAATATTTGAGATAGTTCTGTTCCAGTTTGGCCAAAGCTGTTGAGTTTATTTTTTAAAACATTTAAAAAGGAAGTGTACCTATTGAGATGAAATATCTCAATTACTTTTATGCCTGTCAGCAGCTGTAACACAATTACATACATCTGACTGCACAACTTATAGCTCAAACACAAGTTGGAGAGTAAAAGAGATATCTGCAAAGGTTTAATTTTATAAAATATAAGCTAAAATATATGTAAAGAGAGTATTTTACTCCCTTGTTGAAATATGAAGCTTGTTTTCCTTTAATCAATACTTTACTGCAGTAATCTGACATTTAATCAAATTTAAATTGTTCTCCTTTAGCTTAAAGAACCGATTGCTTTATAATGCAATTCTCTAGACTGGACATGTATATTGCTGTACATGGTAAGAGTAAAATTATTGTTTTTATAAAGTCATAGGTACTGTGACTTTATATTTAATCCTTCTGTGGTGCAGTAATTTTTTACTTAAAAGATGGCAAATTCATTTAAAATATGGACAGGGTGGACCTGCCCTTGAAGCTATCATGCTCACTTAAAAGAACATTAAAGCAAAAAAATTATTGCACTTTGAACACATGAAGAAAATTTATAATTATAACATTTTGAAATTTGGATTGCTCATTACCTCACTGTGCAACATTCACCTGATAAGCACCCATAGGAATAACTGAATTCCTGTAAGCCCTCTATTTTTATATCACTTTAATACAACACCATCTTAGGAAAAAGTTGTGTCCAATCTCTCCATCATTAACAAACATAAAATATGTTTCTACATAGATGAGTTTTGTTTCAGAGTGTGGCTATTGTGTGTATGTGCATTGGCGATGGTGAACAAAACCAAGAGCGTAATGTCAGCTGGGAGCTCTCTGGCAAAGGTGGCTGCAGAGTGGAATATCTCTGATGGCTGGTGTGCTAAATATGCTGTTATGAGAAAGCTGACTGGGTACAAGCTCTGAAATCAGAATATGTTCACATTGTGGAGGGAAAAAAAAATTCCCAGCTTTTAACTGTAAACCCACAGACATTAGATCACTGACAAGAAAACTTTGCTGCAGATGTTAAAAAGAAGTGATGGGAAAAAGCTTGCTACTGTGACTAATGGCAAATGTGAAAGAAGGGAACAGG